TCTCCCACTTGGTTATCTTGCTAAAAGTAAATGCATCTACCATCTCCCATGAGTCAAGTTGTATGAAGCTCCACATTAGGCTATATTTTTGCCATACTACTTCAAAAGTGAGAAGTGTTTTTTACATTGAAATCATACCTTATGTTTTTGGCTAGTTATATTTGGCATGGAGAATCCGAACACAAAATTCATCTGGTTTGTTGATCATATAAAAGGAAGCCTTTTAAAAAAAAGCATGGTTTTGGCTCTTTATATTTTTAACTCCACAGCCCCTATTGGCAATATGTTGGCACTTGGTAAACCTCACTCTAACAGATTAGATTAGTTTTCTGACTCTGGCTATCTGCACCCTAGATAAAGCCTTAGATAAGTTTTTCAATTGTTTTATAACATGACACCAACAGGAGGGTGGTTTACATTGCATAATATAGGATGGCACTAAGGGTGGATTTAGCAAGGGTTATTCGACATGCTAGAGATAAGGATATGCTTTCTAACTAGTGAGTTTCTTTTGGATCTTCTTAATAAGGTATTGATACGTGTCCTTAATTATTCTAAAGTGAAGTAGGGGTATACTGAGGTACTTGCCAAGCAAATTAGTGACTTCAAAGTTGGCATATATGGCTTTGCTAATATGGGGGTACATTCTTGGGGAAATAGATGTGTGCAATGCTTTGGCTAACATGTTACCCTTAGGCATTACAAAATTCTTCTTGGATCTTCTATATTAGATGAATCTTATACTTGGAGATACCCCTAAAAGGCATGAGGTCATTAACAAAGAAGAGGTGTGATAATAGTGCGCCCTTCTTCCTAGTTTAATGGTGTCCCAATTGCCTTGTTCACTTCTTTATGTATCACTTATGAGAGCTCTCCATGCATAAGACAAAAATATAAGGGGATAATAGATCCCCTTATTGTATTCTCCGCAATGGATAAAAGCAATGAGTAGGTTTGTCATTCTATAAGATCTGCATTGTAGGTATAGTGATTCAATGCATAGTGACTTTCATAAATCTATCTGGGAAGCCTACATCCCTAAGAGTGTCCTTAATAAATCTCCAATTGAGTTTATCGAAAGCTTTCTCTTAATCTACTTTAACTGAAAACCAATCTTTATTCCCCTGTTTCCTCCTCATGGCGTGTATGACCTCTTGAGCTATTATAATGTTATCAGTGATGTTCCTTCCCTTGACGAAGCTTTGATTAATAAGGGAGAATAAGATTAGCCATCAAATGTTTGAGCTTGTTTGTAAGGACTTTAATTATGACTTTGTAAGCAACCGAGCAAAGGCTGATAGACCTAAATTCCTTTAATGTGGTAGGGTTAGCGATCTTAGGAATAAGCAATATGAGAGTATTGTTTAGCCTAGTTTCAAGAGGCTTTCCATTAAAAATTGTATTAACCATATTGAAAATAGAGATTCTAATAATATCCCATTGGCTTTGCTAGAATAAGGCGTGTAAGCCATTAGAGCCAAGGGCTTTTAAGGGCTTCATGTTAAAAAGGGCTACTTTTATCTCATCAAGAGTAACATCAACATACAAAATATTGAAGAACCTTTCGAGTAGGGATGAAAGCATACCTCTAATGGCATAGATTGCTCAAACAGGCTGATCATTCATGTATAGATTGATAAAGAACTCATATGCCATATTTTGAAGGGATTGCTTGTCTAAGATCCAATCACCGGCCTCATCTTTAAGGAAGGAAATTTTATTTCTCAAAAGTCAAATTTTAGCTTTAGTATGATAATAGGAGGTGCTCTTATGACTAAGGTTGATCCAATTGAATTGAGATTTTTACAGCCAGAGTAGCTCCTCTATAAAGCAAGCTTCTTTATTATTCTTCCTTAAAACATGCTTGAGGTCATGGAGTGAGGATGAGTGTAGCCATTCCTCTAGGGCTTTCTAACTCCTAGTATGTGTGCCTTTAGTCGATGTTGTTTCTAGAAAATATTACTAAAAATGTCTTGATTCTAGTTTTGGCTACCCTATAAAATGTTTGGATATTCCTTGTGAATGAAAGTGTAGGGTTTCGGTTGTCCTTGACTAGCTAAGCAAAGTCCAAGTGAGTAAGCCCTGCAGTTAAGAACTATAATGGTTTTTGTTGACTTAACTCATTGTGATTGAGCCCAAGAGAAACTTTGAGGGGCTTATGATCAAATTGTAGTTTGGTCAAGTGTTGGACTTAGGTAAATGGATAAGTAGTGGCCCAATAATTGTTGACAAGCAGTTTATCTAATTTGGTAAAAGAAAGGCCACAACTCCAGGTGAATCATGGGCTTGAGTATTTTGCATCAATGCGTTCAGTTGCAACAATAAACTGTCTGAAAAGAGGGCAGCCAAATCGTCGATTATTCAAGATCATATGTCGTTCATTAGTAAAGAGGGTGGCATTAAAATCGCCAGCTAGTACCTAAGGTTCATTAATTGAAGAGGCAACGACCTCGGGAATGCCCCATAGATCTCTTTGAATTGAAGGGTCTAGACTTGCATAGACGACAATAAAGAGGAATGAACAATCTTCACTTAAGAGCTTTATATTAGTGTGGATAAATTGCTAGTGGTTTTGGAGAATCTTCACCTCAACATGGTTAGTCTAAAGCAACCAAATGCCATTGGAGAAGCCACTAGCCTCAATTTGATGTAATAATCTTATCAATAATAGCTTTAGAGATTCGTGGTTTGACAAGGAAGACTAAATTAATCTTGTGTTCTTTAATAAAGGATTTAAGCATAGAATGAAATTTATTTTATGCTACACCTTAGCAATTGCAAATCAGAGCAACTATTAGAGGATATTAAGGGAGTTGTCACTCCATGTTGGAGTGCTTAGGATCCTCATCATTTTCCATCAAATCTTTATTAAGGATAATCTCTTCATCATAAAACTCATAATCGAGGGCTTTTATTATAGACTGGATGACATGTTCTGCAAGGTTGAGTGGGTTATCTTTGTTTTTGGGCTTGCTAGATGCCCAAACCTAATTTTGAATCCTGGCTAAAGAGAAGCTCGGTTAAGAGTTTTTGGTTGGGCATTCTCTTTTATTTTTTTTTGTTGGCCTATCTTTATGGAGGGCTTTTTGGTTGAGTTTATTTTTGGGCTTTTGGCAGGCTTCAGGGGTGATTTAAGGTGTGATATGGTCACAATAGAGTGCTTGGATTGATCTAGTGAGGTGTTTAAGGTTGAGGCTTTGTCTGCTTTGCTAGCAAAGAGGGAATTAGTTAGCACATCAGTGGTATGCTCTTTGTGGTTCTTCAGTGGGGGAGAAGACTTTTTGGATGTATTTGAACATTTGGTAGGCAACAACTGGTCTTTTTAAGGTGCAGGGTATTTCATTATTGGTATTGCGTTGACATCCCTTTTGTTGGACGTATTTGATATAGATCTTTTAGAAGGTATGGTTTTTGAGTTCATAAGGAGGTCAAACCTCAAGCTACTATTAAGGAAACCTTGGTCAGGCACCCTTTTGAAATCCCTATATGACCTCTTTCCTCTTTCGGTTGCAAGCATCCAAGGGCTATACCGGTCTATGGCATTAACCTATTCCATGTTAGTAACACGCGCTGTAGAGTCAACATTCTTGTTAGGCTCTGGTGAGGTTTCTGCCCCTTCCTCTGCCATCTTCAATAGATAGGTGTTAGCAAGGTGTCCATATTTGCCACAATGGAAACAAATTGTAGGTAGCCCTTCGTATTCAATGAAGAGCAATTTCCCATTTATTGTAGTCTTCTACGTGAGGGGACTGGAGAGGTCAAGAATGGTCACCATTCTAGTAAACTTATCTCGCTCCCTTGATGCAATGTTGTAATCTATTTGAATGACTTTTCCAAGGACATTGCCAATGGCTCTGACGAGGCTTTTCTTGTAGTACTTTGTAAGTAGGTAGGGATGTGAATCCATGCAACAACATGGGATATAGAGAGGTTGATTAGTAAGAACTTAGGGGTCTAGAGATGCACTGTGAGATAGTGACTTGAGATCACCCAAGAGCACTCAGTCAATATCTTTTGATAATCTTCCTCAGTAGAGAATTGAGCAATGAAACATCCTCCTTTGAGGTCAAAGAGTTTGAAGGACACATAAACTTCCAAATTCTCTCAAGGTTATCCCTTGGCCTTTTATAGCTAATGGGCATGCCAAGCATCTTCAAGACAACAGCATGGTGCGTGTTGTCTCATAGGATTTTGTGAACCCACAGAGAGGAAGTGATAGATAGGAAAAAAATCCTCCCTTAGAGATCTTGACATCTTTTTCCAGAGTAATGTCATTGTCATCGTCTTGGTTGTCAGCAGGGTTATCTCCGTTCAAGAGTTTGTCATGGAAAGAGATCGCCTTGGGCTTGGTCGGAGTGTTTGTAGTCACATTAATGGCCTGTATGGCCACCGCATCACTATTAGTAGTGATGACCTGGTATGGCTCTTCCTCCATGACTATATCCCCTTCAATCATGGCAGCTTGGTCGTTACCAGCCATGCCCACGTTATCGTCTTCTCTATTGTGCGGCCTGAGTTTGACTTCTTTGGTGGTGCGGTTATTGTCAAGATGTGGTGGTGATTATTCCTCCTTCTCAAAGAATAAGAGCGCGCATTCCATTTTGCTTGAAAAAGAGCAAAGCAAAAACTAAACTAAACATCAAAGAAACCAAGAAAGAAGCAGCACTAGATCTCAGCCAATGCCCTCTCCTTCAGCTTCAGATGATTGTACCCAACCAAATAGCCTGGTCTCAACTCCCTTAAAGCCAAATCTGCTGGACTACTAGCAGTTGGATTTCCACCATGGTGGATGAGAGAAAACGAGACAACACTGGAAGACTCTAATATGTCCCGCCATATTTTTATTGAAAAGAAGCAGGAAATTAAGAACTAGGCACCTAGCGGGCTCCTGCGGCGTCATTATTAATATTAATACACAGCGCATTCATTGACTTCCTTTCATTGCAACGAAAACAATCTGAGCTGTAAAAATTACCCCGCACAGCAAAGATTCCGCCAGAGACCGGAAATGAAAGTGAAATAACCATTAACTAACTTACGAGACAGTTACAAGACAAACTGCAGACACCATTCCACCAAAACAATTAGCTTAGCACTACATGTCACAAAGGTTTGATTCAGAACCATCAAACAAAGATTTTAACAAGGAAGTAGTGGGTCTAGGAGTATCATTATGGCAGTCAACCCTGAGCCCTTCTTCTGTCTTTTCTTTGAATGTCAATAGTTTTTCATCGAGGGCTTGGTGAGGGGTCACTTCGCCATCATCACCTTAACAAATTCCTCGTAATTTATTTGGCCATCACCATCAACATCAGCCTCTCGAATCATCTCATCAACTTCTTCATCAGTAAGCTTCTCCCCGAGATTGGTCATCACGTGGCGAAGCTCAGCAGCGGAAATGAATCCATTCTGATCTTTGTCAAAAACCCGAAATGCCTCTTTTAGCTCCTCCTCAGAGTCGGTATCCTTCATCTTCCTAGCCATAAGGTTTAGAAACTCAGGAAAGTCAATAGTACCATTCCCATCAGCATCTACTTCATTAATCATGTCTTGGAGCTCTGCTTCGGTTGGGTTCTGCCCCAGTGATCTCATAACAGTTCCAAGCTCCTTGGTTGTGATACAACCTGAAATGTAAGATCACACACTATCAAAATCCTCTTCTAAATTCAATGAGGATCAGACACAGAGGCATGCTCACAACCATACGAGAGCTTTTAATCAAGTCTACGATGGTGTCATGTTTTCAAATAACACATTACAATTTACAAAAGGTTCAGACGTCTCTGAGTAAATCATACGGAACCAGCTTCAGTATCATACAGACACACACACACACACGTATACAAACATAACTGTAATAATAGTTAAAAAAGTTAAGAGAAGGATTGGGTTCTCAGTACAGTGCAAAAGCTTGGAATATATGTAAATGCAACATTCCCATTTTGGCAAGGGAAGGCCTTCCTGAATTCGAGGCTTCGGGATTAAGCTAGACGTCAATTAGTCAAATAGCTTCGCATTTTATAAAATCCGTATGTAGGTCCCTAAATCTCTTGTCGCATTGCAGTCTGCAGTTATATGAAGCTAGTGTCATGAAAAGAACACAAACCACAAGAAAGCTATCATTATATTCCATCATCGCATCACATGGCTACTCATCTTTTTTAACGATGAAAAAGAAAAGTCAACAGTAAGGTTTAAGGTATATTCAAAAGCAAATCATTTGTTCTCTCGGTCACCATTGCCTTCAGGCTTCTGAATCTGAATTTGAGAAAGGAACAAGGGGGAAAAAGTGCAACCCAACTTTTTTTCTTATTGACCATCATTCTTTCCCCACTCTTTTTTGCCTACCGATTAGAATCAGAACAGAAGCCAGCATACCGATGCGAAAACTTTCCACGCAGAGTTTCATTCATTTCCAAAGGCTTAACTAACATATTTAAAACCAAGTATGTACAATCGAAGATCATCTACGGCAACACTGCGCATTAAAAAAAAATATTTCCCTATTTTTTTCCAACTATTTTATCTTCTCATCAACCAGGTATCGACAAGAAAACGGTAACACACGCAGAATGATCAGCTAAATAATGTGTGAAATTTAAAACAACAATCGAAACGACGTAAGATCTAAATCTCGACGTCAACAACAAGCAATTTCCCTGAAACACGGTGAAACTTCTCCAAAATCATAAATCCATTTAATTTTCCAAACCACAAACAAGCATCCGCTTCCCAAACACCTTCAGAAGACAGCTAAATCTAGAAATACCTCAAACATAAAATCATTCATATGCCAATTGAAACAACGAAAGAGCGATAAAGAACGAGCAAGAAAAAAGACGAACCGTCTCCATCCTTGTCGAACAAGCTGAAGGCCTCCTTGAACTCAGAGATCTGTTCATCGGTGAGCTGATCCGCCATCGTTGTTCCTTTTTCTTCCCTTGCTTCTTATAATTCCTCTTCCTCTCCGAACGATTATCCTGATTCGGAGAAACAGATCAAAAATTGGCAGTAAACAAGAGAGGGTTTTATGAATCTTCAGAAAAACGCTGCCATTTTTATAGGAAAGTCAAATGGTATGCCATCTAATAACTCCTGGGACGATTACCCCACTAAATTTTTTTTTATTTAAATCGAAAAATAAGTTACCCCCTCAAATTTTATTTATAAATTATTTTTATTAATTTTATTAATATCAATACAATAAAAATAAAAATAATACAGATATATAGAATAAAAATAAATAAAATTTTAAACATAATTCTCACATAAAAATAAAAAATAAATCAATTATATAATATTATTTTTTATTTTTTTATTATTTTTTAAAAATAATTTAAAAATTTTAATTTAAAACAAAACAATCTCGATTTATAAAATAAATTAAATTATATATTTAAAAAGTGATTTATATATTGAATCGGACGAGCATTATCGATTTACACTCATGGCATCCTGTTTTTACCGACACGCCCTTTACTCGTTTGTTTTTTTTTTTTTTTTGGCCTCGTTTGTGTGCTATTCCCCCAACCCTTTCTTTCTTTCTTTCTTTTGCCAACTCTATTTTCCTTATTTTTCGACTTATATTTTTTTAATCGATGCTCAATTAATTAATTTAAGCGCCTAAATGACCATGGGTCCCTCAGGCGTCATTCATCCAGTTCGTATCTAGTCAATCACGAGATGCACCAAAATATCTCCTAATTGTTTGGTAATTCATCTGAGTCTTTTGTTTTTTTTTTTTTTTCCTTTTACACGAGTAAGAGTCCTAGCATAAACAAATAAGGATTTTGTATTAATGTTATTCTTGTAGTTCATTGTAATTCTTACGTAGCTAATTTGTTGATTGAGTCATGTAACATTTTTTTTATAAATTACTGCTAAATTATAATTACACGATGTATAAATTATCCGTTGACATTGACAAGAGAAGTTTGGCAATATTTGTAGTCTGCGAGTCACTCAATTTAAAAATTTACAACGAATGAATAAGTTAATAAACGTGGTAAAACAACCCATTTACGACATAGTGAAATACCCAATTTATGGGGTATTCAGTCCTGCACTTGTATTTTGAGTTTACTCCCCAATTATGGATGCAAGTATATGTACATCTTAGTCAATATTATCTTCCCAATTATTTTAAAACCCATTAAAGTGTTCTGCGAGGATTGAAGTATTTCCCCATAAGTGCCTCTTATGATTGAAAAAATAACATTTAATTAAGGGCCAAAAACGAAGACTAAATAAGTCCGTACATATAAACTAAATTTAATATACATACGCGTTTTGCATTTCGATAAGTTGGGATTTTTAAGTGGGGATGGAGGGAGAGGGGTATTTAGGTAATCTGTGCCTTTGTGCAAGGCGGTATGGAATAGGCACACGCAGTGATGGGAGGATGAGGATCCTATCCTAATGGTGTCACTGAGCCGTCCGATCAATCGCCACGTAGTGACCCAAAGCAATTGGAGAATATGAAGGGCCGATGGATAGTAATAGCCACCCAAACATGAGGTGACAAATGTTAAGTGGCCGCAGGGGATTAGGGCCCTTGGGACAAGCACGCATTGAAAATTGAGGCGATCTGGGTTTACTCGCAATAGTTACGGTTGATGGGGACATGCCATACCATTTAAAGGTGTCGCCGGTGGAGAGTAATTCTTGGATTTGGATGATCCCTTTCATTGGTGGCTTTTTTTAAAAAAATAAAAATTAAAAAAGACTCTGTTTGTTTAACTTAACAAGGTGTCTTCTTCGACGCGACATGCAACGCGGTTACGCGGTTTGGACGCGGAGGCCTTCCCCCGCGGGGGCCACTTTCTTTGCCACGTCACGCTGTCCGTATCTGTCGGTCTATTTTCTCAGCCCGCCTTTTCTTCCCTATCGAAATGACCCAACTGCCCCCCTCTATTCCTTTTCTTTTGAGAAAATATTTAAATATTAAAAATTTTAACACTATTTTTTACAAATTTAATTCAAAATATTTTTCCACTAACATGACCGAATATGTTCAATATCTTTGAATATAAATTTTAATTTTACGAATATATACACACATTCTCTGTAGGAAGGACGAGAATTTGCCGCCCATGCTATGACAAATGCTTGACGCATGCGAGGTGACCTGATAAACATACTCCGTAACAAGTCTCTCTTTAAAAAGTTGAGCATAAATTTAAATTTAATTCATGACAATTACTCCCCAATGTATAAAAAATATTTTTTAAAAGCTTAATTTATTTCTAAATATAAAATATGATAATGATATTTTTAAATAATTAAATAATTTTATTTTTTAAAAAAATAAAATAGATTATTAATTATATATTTTTTTATCATTATCATGATATTAATTATAATATTATTAGGGATAAAATTAAAAAATTATTATGTTTTTATACAAGTTCAACTAAGTAATAAATTTTTATTGGTATGTGAGATTTGATTAAAAATACTCTATATATAAAGATAAAGGGTGTATGACAATTTGTTTTAAAAAAATATCTCACATCAAATCAAACCCATATAAAAACTAATTATAGCAAATTTACTTCTTTTGAATCACATAAGTTGAGAGTTTTTCCAAATTATTTGATTGAAAATTAAACTAATCTAAGATTTCAATATCCAAGAGATAAGATTGTGACTTAAAACGATTACGACGGTCCATTCTCATCATATGTCTTTTAGTTAAATGTATATGGTCCACGTTTTACAGCCAAATTGTGACTTAAAACGATTACAACGGTCCATTCTCATCATATGTCTTTTATAACAATTTATATGGTCCACGTTTTGCAGCCAAAGAAGAACAAATTATATGGATTAAATTTCAAGTGTTCATCAAACGTGCCTTTCTTCATTTAAAAAAAAAAACGAAAGAAAATATAGACGCAAAACTACACCTAGTATGGTTCTAATTAATTGGGATCAAAAAGAGAAATAATCAACAGGAAAACAATACCTTATTGACAAAAATCAGAAAGAGAGTCTTCTCTTACAGGCCTCGAAGGGCAGGTCATTAAAGCAACAACAACCCAAATCTCGAACAATTTCATCAATCAAGTCCCTGCAAATATGATCATGTAAAGCCAAACCTATTCTTCCAATCTCTCGCTTCTCTCCCCATACAATGTCCCTACACACTTCCTCCACACTCTCTATCATTGCCCTCTTGCTCCACATCACCGATTCCTCTTCTTCGTCCTTCACTTTCTTATGCACCAACTCGCTTGTCATAATTTTCTCGTAGAAACATGTGTTTTCCTCTCCTGGCTTCTTCTGCAGCTGTATCTTCTGCTGCTGCACTCGCCCTGTGTGCACATCAGCCTTCAATAATTATTTCATTGATCACCATACCAATGACTATGTCTATTCCCATATGAAGGCCTATTGATTATTAACATCCAGAATTAAATAAAATGCATGCTATGTATATCTTCACTGCTCAAAACAATAATCACAAGCATCTTTAATTTCCCTTGATAGTAGATTCACGAATCATGGTGTTTCTCAATTGAAGGTAATCTTCTATGAGGTATAGCCAGGCATTAAATGTGGGCATTCTTTTGGCAGGTATTCAAACTTTGATTCGCCATGTTTTGAATAATTAATCCCTTCCGTTAAACTCAACCTTTAACATGATACTTTTTTATTTCTTTGAAATATGGACATTTCACCATTAGTGTTACAAGCATCCGTAAAATCTTTTTTTTTTTTTATGGTTTATGATATACGTATTTTTTTTAAATGAAAAACTGAACAATTAATCAAGAGCAATTACAAACTAATTAATAGTAGATGATGTCCTCCTTTTCCACCACCTTTATACAATAAGGTGGGGGTGGATCAAAGGTTTAGTAATTTCATACCCTGTCCCTAGCATTAACAGCAAAAAAAATGAGCACAGTAATTTCCTTTCCTTTCCTAGAGACAAAAATTCAAAGAAACCACCCAATGCCTATACAATAATGATATTCATCTTGAAGTGGACAGATTGTGGTATTGTACAGTGTGCTGGAGGACATTAGTTGGACATAATGATAACTATTTCGCCAAAAAGACTAAGAACAGACACATCTTGTTGAAGCCAGCAGATGGATAAATGGATCTGTAGGGAAGGCAAGAGAAGCAGGTATAAAGCTTAGTGGTGGGGGGGTCGAAATGAGCAAGGCCCTGTAAAAAGTGAAGTAGGTTGCCAGGAAAAGGGGCCAAAGGGATGGGTGTGTGTGTGTGTGTGAGAGAGAGAGAGAGAGAGAGAGAGAGATTGTGTGCACTCTCTTCTTTTTCTTTTTGAACATCATCTTTTGACTGTCTCCTCGTAATAATATATATATATATATATATATAGTCCCTTGCCTGCAGATAGTGGTCCATCATCCCACCCACTAAAGTCGACAAGTTTTCTTTTCTATGCGAAACGGTCGTTTGCGCTTCTCTTTTGGTTTCTAGCAAGCAATATATAAAGAAGGGGTTAATCCTATATATACTTTGTCTTCTTCCTAGTATTTTTTGCGTTCACTATTGAATCAAATTTCCATGAAAAGTGATAGCCAACTATGGAATTACTAAATAAAAAGTAAGAAATTGCTAACGTTACTAGTGATATTTTGACACTGTTTTCATTATAGAAGCTTGCTAGCTGGGAGTCACTTATATTGGCCGCAATATAATTGCAGCAGCAAAAAGGACTTAGTTGGTCCCCCGCCATGATTGTGAAGATGGTGTGGAACACAAGAAGTTATGATTGAAAATTTGGAATCCTAAACATCATGGATGAGGAAGCATATGCTTTTTCATGAATGACCATCGTGTTCCCTCCCCATGAGTAAGTTTATTATCAACATAAACCCTTCCAGAGGGTCAACATAAATTGCAACTTTGTACCTTTCTAGCTTGGAGATTAGTAGATATTCTTTCTGAATGATGACAAATACATTCTTTGAACCAACAAACTAAAAAATGTCTAGCTTTTCCATCAGTATATGACAACCAGATAGATTTAAATAAACAGGAATTGCTGTAGAACATGTGGAACTACGTAAAAATTTAGAAGGATATTTGTTCTTCGAATCGAATACGGCTGAAATGAAAAGATTTATAAAGAACAAGAATTAATAATTTAATGAAGTATCAAAACATTGACCTGTTCCTGTCAATCCAAATTCAAGTGGGAAAAAATAATGACGATTTATATTTCCAAGCTTTTTAGTGGTTTAATTTTCAGTCCATGTCCTTCTTCTCCCTAGTCAAATCCTAACTACCCAAGGGGAAAAAGGACAATTAGAAAGTTGATAACTCAGTTTCAACGGATCGGTTAACAAAAGAGGAAAAAGGCTGTATGATCGATAATTTGCTGGGAAAAATAATGGAATCTTTGACTACCAAAGAAAAATTTAAAAATTTATTCAAAAGGAATGTGGGTGTGTCCAAGCAAATTAAATTGAAAACGATAACTCCGCAAAGAGTTTGGATTAGATCAAAGATCATACGCTAATTTGCTGAGTAACGCGAGAGAATCGGTTAAGTATTTTATATATTCTCAGAACCAAAATCTAGCTAGTTTAATGAAAAATACGATTCGTCACACTAATAACCAAATTAATTCTAGTTAACAGAGCTTCTCCAATGGCTCCTGGTTTAGTAATTTGTAGAATTTATCTTCTAATAAGAATGCAAATGAATCAGGATATGGAAGAAGGAAAAAGTTCGTGAAATTAGATTGTTTTTTAGTGGGGCAAAAAGCGAACGTACCAATTTGATTTGAATGTTGTTGCGAGTAATTCCTGAAACTCACAGGGGACCGAGTCACCTCATCGAGCACGGACACTGGACTTGGCTGCTGCTCGCCTTTAAACTCCGAACAATTAACTTCCGTTACCGTTCTGATTTTATCCTCAAAGCAACTCCCGTTTTTCGATACCACCTCCAGCGAGGGTGTTCGTTGCTGATCTGCCGATCGTACGGCCTCGATGATCTTCTTTAGTGCCTTTAGATCTTCGTCGCATTTCTGAAGCGCATTCAACAGCCTTTCTCTTTTATCCGCTACAGATTCTGGTTTCGTCGCCGCCGGACCCTCATCCAATCCCATCAGCCTCGCCACAAGCGCCGGCGGAGTTCTGAGATTCTCCGGTGTTTTCGCAGGATTTGATCGGCGAATATCAGCAGGAAGAGTGGGGCTCCTTGGTGCTTCGCGTGACAACATGGGATTGAGACAAGCATTGGGTTTGACCTCATTGAAGTTTTCTCCTTCTTCCACGAGAGCTTGTTTTGGCAGTTCTGCTTTTGCTGGAAATGAACTCTCATTCTTAATCTGCTTCTTTCCTGTGAACGGAAAAAGAGAAATGAATGCTATAATGTAGATAAATCCAAAGTCCAAAGGCCAAGCTCTAGTATATGCTTTCTCGGTAAGCAAGCAGAATTTTAACAACATGAGCGGAGGCAATCAATTACCGAAGGTGAGGAATCTGCGAGAGGAGTGAGGCTTGCAGACGAGATGGATGATGCCGGACATGCAGCCAATGGCTTTGGATTGAATCATCTCCGGCGCATTTTCTCGGCGTGACGACGATGACACCGTGCTATTTTGCCTCTTCATTGCTCTCTCCTCGTTGGTGTGTTTGTGTACGCTGACGAAAGGCAGCGAGAAAAGCAGGCGGAAAACGCCTAGTTATGTTTTCATTTTCAATTTTTTTTAAAAAAAAAGGTTAAATGCACCTTCCATTTCCACTTACTTGGCTTTTCTTTTGTTTAAATTTTAGAATTATAGAATTTACTTATTATTTATTACGAAATTTTGGATCAATTACCCATGAATCTGGTTGTTTAATAACAAAGTGCATTATTTATGTATTGTAAATAGAGTAAGTAATTAAATATTCTATATTTGATGTTGATAGTAATTTTGATATATAGAGTTCTTCTAAACAATAAGAGAATCATATTTTTAATTTTTTTGGTTGAGCTTATATAAATTTTATCTTTACTTTTATAATAAAATAATATTAGGGAAATAACAAAAATTAACTTGCGTTCTTAAAATAAATCACTTAAATTTTACATATAAGTAAGGTCAAAGGGATATTAATGAAAAAGGCAGCACATGCATTTGAATTTTTTTAGTATGTAAATCTTGTTCTATAAAAAGTTCAATTTTAAAAATAAAAAGTTTTTGTCCTTTTAATGAAAATTTAAAATTTAAATAAACATTGAGAACAAGTTCATGTTTATGTAATTTTAACATATCCTACTTGCAAATAACCATAATATTAGTAGTGTGGAGATAACGGGAGGACAAGGAGGGACAATGAGGAGTGAAAAAGGTGAGAAATTAAAGCAAAAGGAAGAAGAACGTTAATTAACTAGAGAAAGCAAATTGCACGTGGAATGCCGTGTACTATATTATATTATTATTCTTAATTTTATTATGGTCTATCATGTGAGATATGCAAATCCTTTTATTTGGGATTTATGCCTGGTTTAGTGGGGAGAATTTTTTTTATTTTTATTTTTAGAGATGGAAGTGGAAATGAAAATAAAATTATACTATAAATGAATTTAAAAATGTATTTGGTGTGTTAAAAAAAGAGATGAAAATGAAGTGAGTTTTTTTTTAAGTGAAAAATGGAATGAATATATAAACGAGCATAAAAAGACTTTTTTTGCCCTTCATTTAAAAAAAAGATAAATGATTGTCAAAAATTCATAACCTAAGATAGTATTGTCCAAAAATTTTCAGTTTTAAAAAACTCATCTCAGTTTTATAAGTATATTCAAAGAACTCAATTTTATCAAATTTAATGAAAGTGTATTTCATGCCAAACTGAATTTTAACATAACAAACAATCTCTTTTAAAATTTTACTTTCATTTCTCTTTTCAATTTTAGCGTACCAAACAGGACATTAATTTAAAGAATGTGTGATTAATAGTTGGATTTAATGAAATAGCCAGGGCAAGTACTAATTGGGCAGTTGTTGAGTGTGCATGCCGATTGAGGAAGGGGCAAGTTAGGGATCAACACGGCACGAGATGTGAGTGAGAAAAAGTGAGAAAAGAGTGGAACACATGACACGTCAAAAAAAAAAAAAAAGGTGTCCGACGCGCCCAACTACTGTGCATGATGCTCATGATGATACATTCTTTATATATATATATATATATATATTATGATGATACATTCTTCATTGCTAACTTTTTTCATTTCACTGCGTACAGTGAATTGTAATTTCTTGATTAATTCACTGTTTTGCTTAATTAAGGGCATGGGCGTGATTAAGAGCTAATCCGTGCGTGATTGATTATGCATAGATAATTGGATCCTAAGATTGGCAAATAAATTAAAGTAGGATCTTGTCCCTTTCAATGCATGGGGAAATAACAGACCCATTAATATCAATCTATTGTAAGTGTGTGTTATTCCATGTTCCATGATTTCCATTGAACCATAACTTACATTTCAAGTCACTGGCCACAGGTACATGGCTAAAAAGGAAAAGTTGTCGCTGAGGATTCTTTCTCTATATTTTTTTTTTACTTTTTTAAATTGATTCAAGTCATTATTTTAAAATTATTAAAAAAGACTTGACCATAAATTTAAATACTCATGAGGTTTTGAGAAGTTTTTTAAAATGAGATCCTTCAGTGGCATAAATTCAAAGCTTTAAATTGATTGAAATGTTCTTACCAAATTCTCTCTCCTCTCTTCTCCGACACCAATTGTTGTCGTGATATTTAACAATGACTTCTACAATGTCAATAACACTTCTTTCTCTTCTTACTCATTTGTCCTTCCTTACCTCCTTCTTACCTATTTGTTCTTCTCTATCTTCATCTCCTTCCTTCTCTTTGAATTTGAACTTATAGACCACTACTAACATCTGCCTCTTAAAAAAAAAATCCAAATTCAAAGTAATAAAAAAAAGTATTCATTGGAGGAAAGTAAAAGTTGGTCAAAGAAAGTTTTTTTAAGATTCAATCCAAATCCATTTTCCATCATTCCCTAATCTCACTCTATTTGATCGACAATAGAATCCTTGTTCACGTCATTGTGCTTCTATGCTCCGATTCTTGAACAAACCCTCTTAGCATCATTAATAACGGTTGAGAATAGGAATTCATAGTTTCAAGCTTTAACAAGATAGATTTAGTTATGAATCATCTCGTGCACCAATTCCCAATTCATGGTTCTTATTTGATTTTTGAGTCAATGTGGATTTCTCTTTCCTATTGTTATTGGGTTATTTCTTGGCCACTATGATGAGCTCTTTCTCATGTTGAAATTAATATGTCTGTTAACAAATATTGGTTCAAACGATTGTTACACATGCTTATCTACCCAACTTTGACAACAAATTGTGGGTCAAAGCTTTTCTAATGTCATTGTTTGGTTAGAATTTGCTTACCTGCTTGCACCTGATTATGGAATTGATCATCTTCGCATTTTGCTCCTAGTGCTTTCATTTAACCTTTAGTAGCAAGGAATCTGATAATTTAACTAGGATAGTAGTCTAAAGTTCTTTGAGGTATATTTGATTTCAAAAACCACAAGTATCTGAATTTTTTCCATCGCTGGCTATGAGATTGCCAGAACAAAGGATTTATCGTTCATCACTTGAAGCACGTTCAAACTTTAAATCATCTGTTAGCGATGGAGAATTCTAATACTAGTGTTGTGAGCTAGCTGTTTTCAATATGTGGTTTCGTTTCTTGTTTCAATCCCACTTTCCTATTTTTGTGGAGAAAAAATTGTAGTATATTGGAAATAAAATAAGTTATTGCTGTAAAGGCTGTAACATCGGCTAGACATCATGACTATTTACTTGGAGCCAGATGGAAAATTGTAGGGTGGTCAAACTTCACATATAATTTGGTCCCTCTCAGTATTAATTGTTGATATTTTCAGATTATGAGCAGCTAAGCCCAAGTTAGTGAATGGCTTGATATGGTTATAAGTTATAACAAAAATGGAACTAAATGTTTCTATTATAAAGGGGAAAGTCTTCATCAGTTTAATATATGTTGTGCTAGATGCTTCTGTTTGTAACTCAGCTTTTTGATCAATTAGTTGCAGGGAAAGACCTATATGCATCATAGAAAGGCAAATTTACCCCCACTAGCTAAGGAAAAAATTAAAAATTATAACCTAAAATGTTGTTAACTAACTCCTAAAATTTTCAATCGTCCTCACTTAAGAAAATCACGTCTCCTTAAAATTTTTCACTCCTCTCCCTAAAATTTATTTAATTCATAAACTTATTTATATATAATAAACTTAAATAAAAGGGAGAATGCTGGAGAGAGTCTTTAGAAGGAAAAAAAAAAGTGAGGGTTTTAAATAACTAAAATTTTATTTATACTAGTTCATCAATTGACTTGTGCATAGATGAACTTTAATTATTCAGGATCCTCATTGCTTTTTTTTTTTCTTTTCTCTTTTGAAACTCTCATTACCATTCTCCATAAATAAAAATAGTTTTAGAATGGAGGAAACAATAATTAAAAAATAACTTTCTCTAATTGTATAAAAAATATCTCAAAAAATTTATATGCTATAAAAAAGTAGATGAAATTTTATTTAATAAATAATAAAATAAAAACATTATTATTTTCTAATATTATGAAAAGTTTAGTTTTATAAAGACATTATTATTTTTCTATTATTATAATTTTTTCCTTTAATTTAATTTAATAAACATTAAGATATTATATTTTAAAAATATTAATATTTATTTTAAATGTAAATTTTTCTCTCATTAATTAATTTTTCTAAATCTGTCACTAATTAATTGATTCCATTATGATGACCAAATTGGAGTTCGCTTTGCTATGGCGGGACAACTTGTCATTGATTTCCAGTTAAGCTTATTTTTATAGGAATGATAACCGGCGCGTACCTAAACACATGGTTGCAATGCGCGTGCATTGGCTGGTCTCCATTCATCTTTGGTCAAACTTTGATGCATTATTGAAACATCCCTCACTCAAATATTAAATTTATTTTCTTTAAATAGTATTAATTTAAAAAAAGAGTCTAACATATTAATAAAAAATAAAAGACATTTTCTCAAATATTATCATAATAATAATTAAAATACTTACCTTAATAGGAAGGATAAAACCCACAATTTTAAAAAAAAACTCTTAACATGAAAGGAAAAAATCTACTTTATTAATTAAGAGACTGAATAATTATTTAAAAAATATATCATGCAGAAAAATTTTTCTATAATTGAAATGGTTCGTAAATATTAACTACTATGTTAGGAGAAATCTACCATGATAATAAAAAAATTTTACAAATCTAAAAAATTCTATCATTGTATTTAAGAATATAACTTAACTAAATAGAGAGCGTTAAAATGAAACCTCCTTAGATAAGTCTTTCAAAAAGGAAAACATTTAGATTAGCAAGTTATAGTTCTTAACATACTTTAAAATAAACAATCTAAAAACTTAAATTATATGAAATCTTTTAGATAATCAAATAATAATCTTTAAGACCATAAAGTGGCAGATGAAAGTCCCATGACTAATAAAAGCAAAATAAGATAAACAAAATTATAAATTATAAATGCTCGTAATAATCAAAATGTCCTAAGTTGACATTATATATATTACTTCAATTAAAAGAGAGATCATATAGGCTAAGAGCATCAACATAGACTCAA